AACAGAAGACTATAATAAAATGGCGGTTTACACATTCATCAAAAAGCAACAGATTATCTATCGTGTAGCCGGCAGACACTCAACGTGTGTTCGTCATTCTTGACATGATCTTGGGCAACAATTATTCAATTTGTACTTTTGGACATCGCCAAGTAGCGACAGTAATTTGTTGATGCTGACCGAGACCTGATGAGACAATAACAAACACATGTTCTGTACATGTGTAGAACTACTGCCCAACACCGAGTGTAAGGTACATTCAGCAACATACCTAGATACCATGGCCATTACAGAAACCTGTATAGGCGCGGCACGTACAAGCACTGCCCGGGTACTAGGTGCCAGGGATCGAGTGTAAGGTATATTCAGAAACATAGCCAGACACCAAAGCGTTACAGAAACCTGTGTAGGCGCGACAAGTACAGGAACTGCCCCTGATACTAGGTGCCCGGGATCGAGTGTAAGGTAGGCAATTCAGCAACATAGCCAGACACCAAGGCGTTACAGAAACCTGTGTAGGCGCGACAAGTACAGGAACTGCCCCTGATACTAGGTGCCCGGGATCGAGTGTAAGGTAGGCAATTCAGCAACACAGCCATACACCAAGGCGTTACAGAAACCTGTGTAGGCACGGCACATACATCGAATCTATACCCGCCGGTGTTGTTTCCCGCCACAGTTTCAGACGATAACAGGCAAGGTCACTGAGGTTAGGAAACCATGGAGACAGTGTCCGATTTCTATCAAATCCAGGCTTTCTCCATCTACGATGGTAACCGGAAGAAAGGATTTATTGATTTCCTAAAGTCTACATATCCACGGATCATATGCTGTAAACCAGACGCAGACGACTGAACCGTTTCCTCCCCAGCAACAATAATTGTCTACAATGTGAATCATGATTCACTCAAAGTACTGCACTACAGAGTAGTAGTATTAAACCATGTTCTGAAATTATCCGCCATTTTGTTGAAATTGAGAGTTTTAACAACGCCTATACAATAGTGTTACAATGCTTGTAAGTTGTGACACATGCCCAATCTGGTAGTTTCCCCAATTTCATACTCGACCGCTTTTACGAAAATGTATGTATATGACCCTGAACCCGATTGTCACTCATCAACCTAAGTGCATCATGTCATGAAATGGTTCCATCTCCAACTTCTTATAATGAATGCGAAGCGTCCTCAAAGACTTGTTTACACAAAGGTAGGACTATGTTTAATGAAAATACAAATAACAGCAGTCAAGAAATATCACCAACTTGAAAATAAATACCACTACTCAATAGCGGCCACTGCACAGACTGCAATGAAACCTTGCCTTTGGTAATTTAAAAACAACAACATCACGTTGTTTGTTGGGTTGTTATTCATTTACTCCATATATATATATATATATATATATATATCCCCCCCCTTTTTCAAGAAGCATATGAGCTCAGTAAATAGTTACACCAGGTGACCTAGGAAATCAATTCTTTAAAAACTATTTCTAAAATAATGCCTTATATAGTCTGACAATATATTCATATATTCAAACTGCCACTGGTTGGCAACATTTGGATTAAAGTTTGTAAACCCCGAATCTTCATAATTTGCCACGTGGTAAATAGCACACGTACACGTGATTCACAATACAACCAAGCAAGTTGTAATGCGATGATTTATTTAGAGTTTAATGATAATACATTTAGCATTCAGATGACATTAATACTAATTAATTAATCTCTATATTGTGTTCAGTTAGCAAACTTACTAGTCTCAACATACAGAAATGTGTGTTTTTAAAGCGTAGGGGTCGTCACCTGCGCACGCACGGGAATTGAGTCCCAATCGACGTTAACAACGCACGCTAAAATCGAAAAGGCTCATGGGTAGATGTTTGTTTGTAAACAACGGCAGCTATGGCCGTCTGCCGCATGCGCAGGTGACGACTCCGCCGCGATTTTGACTGTTGCGCAGACCAAGTGTAAACTGAGACGTTACTAAACTTTATGTAAGTAATTTCTTTAGTGAATGGTGGATGGAAGTAACGGACGGTAATTAGTGCACGTTGCACCAGGTCAAAACTCGTACTCTTGATTTTCATTGCAAGAGCGCATTGGATTGTGGGAAAATCGATGTTTATCAACACAAACTTGAATGTCGCACATGCGCGGCGCAACGACCACCACTCTTTAATTAAATGCGTTACTGATTTTCCCACATCTAACATTGTTCACGTATTGCAGTTCAGGCCTCGTCTAGTGGTCACTGACACCACAATTTGTGTTACAATATGTCTTTTATCACGTGATTTTAAGCTACAGATTGTAATCTAAGATTGTTATGTAATCCGAAATAAACCTGAGCTGTTAGGGAAAGATCGGTCACTCGTCGAGTACTGTCAACTGCGTCGGCACCATTACGTGTTTAATACCCAGCCAGCCACGGGGCTTATGTTGCATAGACGCGTTTTTATCTTGACATAAAGCAGATGTGGCGCCGAATAATTCAAAACTAGTAGCCTACCGATTGATTCAACAAGTCATTCTAGTCCGTTCGATATTGCTAGAACCATATACCCTCACTTTTTGAAGTATGTGGCAGAACCATAAAAAAGTATGCTAGTACACATCACGACTTCTAGTGCAAATTTCGACCTACCTCCGTCAAGTTCTCATTTTTATACGATTGTTGTTCTTTACACAAGAGAATATTTTCGATATTAAACAATCCCAGGTGTTTCTCCAGATATATTCAGTTGCGCATGAAAAACTATCCTAACAGATTATTGATTAAAAATACACAGACGGGAAGAAGTGCCTGAGTCGGAGATATTCATGCTATGGCACTTCTTTGAGCGTGTACTTGACTTACAGTTGTCGGTATCTTTTATGGATTACAGCAGGCATCTGTTCCTCAAAACTTGTCTGTTTCGGGTGTAATTTTACCTCGTATCTAAAATAGTCTAATTAGGAGGCTCTGTCGGCGAAAGACATTTCACAGATCGGTGAACAATAGAGATAATGGGTCACTTATTGGGCCAGAGTGGTTGTACGCACTCGAGGGTAAAATGAACCAATAAATGGTCCTCGCTTGAAAATTGGAATTTCAGACACACAGTTTGCAAACATTTGTCGTCCAAGAAAGTACACAACAAATAAATGTGGACGATTTTCTGAAAATACAGGCACTCTGTTATAGTGACATGGTGTGACCTCTGACCCACAATTTGATTGGACTGGATGTCTGCGCACTATACACGAGTAGCTTCCCCGAGGCATGGTCTATTAAGTTTGTTTATCCGAATTCCCCCTAAAATACACATGTTATCCTACGTTGGTCTAAATCATTTAACCGTGGGGGGGGGGGATACTCTGTGATATAACCAACCCGCTTGCATTGCATGACGTGACCCTGGTATATTTGAATTTTTAACACTCGACAGGGCGACTCATATTTGTCGCGACCCTCGAGACTGTCGGGATATCGATAATCAGCTTGACACTTAGGTATTAATGACGTCATGAACTGGCGTAATACAAACGCTACATTCTCCTCTGACGTCAAGGTAACGGCGGTGGAAATAATGCAAATTGGTTAATATTGCTCGATAAACTATTCTTAGAACCATGGAAAAATGCTAAATTATAGTTACGATTACAACCTATATAGTGTGACCCTGTGACCCGAAACAACAATGTCGGTATGTTAAGAATAATGTCATTAGTAATAATAACAACCTTTATTGATATCGTATCCCCTCTGGGATATAAGGAACAATAAAATACATAAGGAATAATAATAATAAAAAAACTAGTATGTCTGTCTGTATAATCCATGATTCGGTATTATCGCGGATCACATACCACAATATGAATATGGATGGCGTGACACCAATCGAACACGTGATATCTGCACAATTTTCCGTTTCGGTAAAAAATATGCAAATTAGCTCTAAACTAAGGGGAACGCGAACACGAAAACAACAATTTGAATACATCGATCAATCAACGGTGGCGTGACACGTGCGAACCACACGTTTGTGGAAGGCATCTGGACCAAGTTAATGCAGCCGACCAAGAAAATCGTTTACATCGATGTTAAATATTTAAACTACAGAAACCATAATTGTAAACACGCATGTACGTAGAAGGTAAAGAAAACATGGCCTGGAAATGTCGATTTAAGTTGCCTATTGTGAACTTGAAATAGTCTAGAAATAGTAATCGCTTAGGCAGTTTCTTCGAAGACATGTTTTAACCACCCAAATATATCTATATATACGATATATCGATGTAGTTTTCAAAATTCAAGTTAACTCGGGCTACATTCGATTTGGCTTTTGATCATATCCGAATGCGTTGCCAAACGCATATTTGCTCATTTGTAGCTGCGATAGTTGATTTTATACAGGCACGACAGCAGTTGGTTGGTGTGTCACCTTTTAACGACTCCTGGATGCACGTCATCACGCCAGAAACCGTATCGCAATATGTTCTCTGGGGTTGCGTGCAACGAATGCGTTATCGTGTAACAGCACGCTGTGAGCTAACTTCAGGGAAATTTGACTAACAGCTTTTAAAGTAAGTGTACTGTTATGTACATCAAACAGTGGCACTGTTCCCCTGGCGTAGAATTTGCATACAGAAGCCTGGTATTATTTTTTTAGCAAACTTCACGTGTAATTCTATTGGCGAATTGATACACTAGATAGGTTTTGCTACGAATATCTCGACATCACGCTTCGGCATCACGCATGTTCTATTTGATGCGGTAGCTATGGACGCTTAAGCTTAGATGTGTTTAGGTTGTTGTGTTCTCAACAAGCGCCACGCACAAAAGCATGTACACGAGTCATGTCCACTCACTCTGTACACGACTCTATTGACTGGTGTTCACATCAGTATTCAGCTCAAGTTCAAGTTAGACAATGACGCAAAAGGGCAAGGTCTCGTGGGTTCCAGTGACGTAAGAATGAATACTACAATTCGAATGACTTCCAATTAAACCTACCTTCTTGTAAACTCGTTATCGTCAGATTCCGAGCGAAACAACCGACCACCAGATCTACGGTAGCCACTCGACAAGAACATGGGAACTTTACTCCGCTTGCCACACAAATGGAAAGTTGACTGACAGCAGTGTTAGTGAGCATGCGCAGTAAAGCAGAAACCATACAAGCTGGCATGTAAGTACACAACAGTATAACATATCGCACATAAGAACAAAACAACCCCGGTAAAATAACGAAGCAAATTATTTCTGTTCAACGTCCACATCGTTTTACTGCTCAGAATTGGCGCGATTTGTTTTCAGTTATTCAAGTCACGTATGTGGAAGACTAGTTTAACTGTGACACATTCTTCCGTAATCACCACCTACAGCGCGTGGGCTTGATCCCGCGCTATCGGAGACTGCGGGTGTGGCAATTTAACTGGCGGATGAGATTAGCTAACGAAATATGCTGGCTTGAGACACACTTGTTTTTAAACCACAGCATTGTGAAGTTAATCAATTAGATTCGGACTTTTAAACAACGCAAAACGGCACATATCATGGATTTCTAAAACCGGAATATGTTTAGTTAAAACAAACGTGCTCTTCTGGGCACCAACGCAATATCCGTTCCCAGCTTCCTGTCTAAGATCCTCGCCACGTCAGACATATACATGTGATCTCAATGGACGATCCCAGGCACCAGTGACTCTATATGAAACATATTTTAGTGCAATAAATTATTGCATTATCATGGTTTTAATAAATGTCGAGGTAT